ATGATGATGGTGATGATGATGCTGCCCGAGAAGTGGTTCTAAAGCAAGCACCATGTTCCGAATGATGTGGGTCTAAGGCACGTGGTAATCCCTACCCTCAGGATCCACCTTGTCGGTGCTGTGGCTTCCATGATGGTGATGAACATGGTCATGCTCATGTACTGGACAACACTCATTGTGGTATCGTGGCAGCAGTGGCTGAACTACACCATCCTCCTCCTCCTTTGCATTACGATTGTCGATCGCCTGCCACCAGAGGTAACACCATTTCTGACTAATCTAAGAAGAAGAGTAAGCTACTTCACAACAGCTATCGTTGGGATCCTCATCTTCGCAACACCCATGGGGACCAACGAGCTCTTTCCTAAACACAGGAGGAAAAAATTATCCTCCAGCGACATCGTGCCTATCCTTCTACCTCGGTAGAATAGGGAACTGAGTCTTATACGTAACACAGGCAGCCTCCGAATGGGGAACTGCTGTGCTTGCGGGTAGTAGAGCCGACACTATCTCTTCAATGCAAAGTAGGAAGAGGAACGCCATGGCGGCTGAAGTGCACGCCAACAAGGCACCTACAGCACTTGGTGAAATAGAGTGTGATAAAGTTGGGAAAAATTACCATACTGCGGTTGAGAGTCTACGTAGGTATCGACGAGTTCCCCAACAGCATCAGGTAGCATATGGCAGAGCCCAGCAGCGAATAGGACACCAGCAGTGAAGGCTTGGGAGACCGAGAACAACAGTGGCATCTTAATTCGCCCAACCTGAATAGCAACACTCCCATCAGACCGAAACCGCCTGCTAGCGTCTGGGAGCCTTCTAAGAGAGCACCCTCAATGAGTAGCATGTAGTAGTACCTCCTTTGCGGCCCATAAGCCCAACAAGGCTACTGATGCAGCTGCTAGTATTGCCAGTAGCTTGACTGTATAAAGAGGCATGGTAAGATACAGGGCACTGACTACTACAGGGATAATCAAAACACAATTCCCTACAGGCCTCGATGCTCAACTTATAAGATATCACAACGCACATGGAAGCCTACGTCAATGCGGGGCCGCACGGAGGAACTAGAAGGTCTAAAGATGTTCAGCACTGACGAACACACGCTTCGGATTTGTTGTAACTCCGCCGGAGATACCCCGAGATAGCTTTGGTTCGAATTGGTTTCAAGTATATGACGTAGTCTTCTTATAAGCTTGGTGACGGCATCAGTAAAGTGCTCCTTCTACCCACGAAGGAAAACGTACCGAATCAATGAGTCCCTAAGAGACAGAGCCTGCAAAAGAAACTAAATCAAGCCGTATCCACGATACAAGGCCCAAAGGTATGTTATTGTGTGGGAACACGCGGCAAACATTATCCCGAATGGTAAAGACCCAACGTTAGAACACGACCTCCATCACAATGATAGAGTATAGAAACGTCATCCTATAATATCCATACATCATCGAGGAACAGTAACAGGGACAACACTAGGACCAACAGCAGGTGAGGAAGGCGCTACATAGGAACGTTGGGGGTAAGCATACGAACAAGCACATTGCTCATGCTGTTGGGCCTGGTACGTGTCTAGGCTCCTGACTTAACATATCATCAAAACATATACAAAAGACTACATTTCTACTAGGAAGCACCACCGTAACGGCAACCAACCGTTTAAAGTATATGGGGAATATAATCCGGTACTGAGATAGGCTAAAACGGCAGGAAACCAGTAACAAGATAGGGTATTTTCACTTCGACATCGCCCTTCCCTCAGGAGGCACCTCCCCTGCTGGGACTTTCTCAATACAGAAGAGCCATCCAACAATCAATGCTAGTGGTGCACTCAACACCGACAACAAGGCGCCTAACTTGGCCTCCTCCAGAAGGGTCGGTTCCGTATATGCTGACTGCGCTACAAAGAGAGCCACCGTGAGACCAGCGCCGGAAACTATACCAACGACAAATAGATGCCTGTAGGTCA